ACACTTTTTCGCAGTTAAATAAAAATTTAAAAGAGTTGCTTGAGGTGATCATAATATAAATATAAAATATAAATATACAAAACCAAAAAATAAATTCGATCCATATTAAAATTTGTGTTGAATATATTCTGTTAAAAGAAGCCAGTTTTAATTAAACAATTTCCAGCCAATCGGATTAAAATTTTTTTTTAATCCAATTCAATCCCATTCCAATTAACAAGTATTTTTTACGGCAGTGTTTCCCACTGAATGCAATAAAAGTATTAATTCATTTGCCTTTCAAACGTTTTAAATTCCATTAAAATAATATTTTCCCTTTAATTTTTTTCTTACAAATTACTAATATATATAAATACATAGTTCCATATATAAACAGTATAATATTACACATAAAAAGAATGCAAATGAAAATAAATAAAATATGTAAACTGAAATAAAATCGAAGCAAATAAAAACTTTAGTGCTTGAAACAAGACAATAAGCAAGGAAAAATAATAGTAAAATAATAATAAATCCGCATATTAAAAACAATTACACTAGGCAGCTTAAATGTTTGAGGATAGCGACGAAAGTTCGCCATTTGTGATGCTCTCATCGCCCACAAAATCTTGGGTTAGTAAGTATGTGCAATACTATGCATAATTGAGTGTAATTAAAAATAAATAAAATTTAAATAATTGTATTATATTCAAAACATAAGTCGTTTTGTATATTTAACAAAAAATATTTTGTTATTCACAAGGGTATTATTTGAAGCCCGTTCAAAGAATGGAAATCAATTTTTTATTGAGGAAATACCATTGAATGAATCACGTACCCGTATTATTTTAATAATTTACAAACACATACATAGTCATGTTTTTCTGCAAGTAATTGCTTAAATTTTCGCTTATTTTTAATTTATATAATTAATTTTTAATTAATTTCACTTTATTTTATTTTATTCCAGTTTAATTCATTTATTTTTCTAATTTATTTTATTTTATTTTATTTTATTTTATTTTATTTTATTTTATTTTATTTTATTTTATTTTATTTTATTTTATTTTATTTTATGTTTTTATTTTGTATCAATTTATTTTGACTTTTTTTAATTACTTTGATTTTCTTTTTAAATTCATCACTTATTGTCAATTATTCAAATATTTGTTCTACTCTTATTTCAAGTAACATTTCTATCGCTGAGACACTACACTCGAAAATTCTACCATATGTGCTTATATCATTTATTAGCTTCGTCGTGGGTTTTCAACCATCATTACCATATTCTACTACTATTTTCTGGTACAATTTTCTACTACTATTTTACATTATTTTTTACCATTGTAATTTCCTATTTCGGTTTCTACCTTACACTAATTTCTACTACTGTTTTCTGCTACCATATTCTACTACTAATTTCCACTACTATTTTTCACTGCTAATGTCCACTACAATTTTCTGGTTACAACTGATGCTTTTGCGTTTTCTATTAGTTTTTGTAAAACTTTCTTTTGTCTACTACCAAATTCTCTTTTGTTACTTCTTTAGTATACCTCCAAAAGCATAGGTAGTTCGGAAATGGCGTTCAACATATTTGCTACCATTTCTAATTTCGATTTTTTTTGCTCTTCGTTAACTCCCCATCTGTCTGCTGCAGTTAGTGTACTTTCAATTATTTTTGTGCTTAGTGCAAACAAGCAGACAACTTGTCGGTGGGCAGTCCGACAGTTTTTTCACACCGCAGCCGCAATAATTTTCTCTTTATTCAACACAGACTTTTAAATAGTTTTGTTTTTCTGTTTCGCTATTTAATTTTCTCCATTTAAAATGCATTTAATTTCTTTACTTTTAAATTGTTGGGCTTACGAGTAATTTATTTATTTATATATTTTTTTATTCTTTTTATTTCTTTTTTAACGAAACTTTTAATGGGTATAGTTATTTTAATAATTTAATTTAACTCTTTCATTGTGCATTGCTTGGAAATTTATATTTTTCATGTCTTTTTTTATTTTTTGCTTTCGGTTAACCGCCTTGCTTGCCTACTTGGCTGTCAAAGCAGTTAAATTCTGGTGAGCACTCCACACCTTTTGCCTTTCATTACTGCACTTTTTATGCTGCTGCTAAAATTTTAAGGCTTTTTGAGTGACTATTTAGTATGTATATAATATATTTGAATACATAAATATTTTAATGTTTGTATTGTATATTTGAGTGCTTCTTGTTTTCCTTTATATATATATATACTGGGCCCCAATGTGTTGTACCGGGCGTATGAGTATCATTTCGTTCGTAAAAATTATTGCTCAGCAACCACATGTTGTAGTAATTAACGCCTTCATTGCCTCACTTAAGGAAAATATTTCATTCATCTTATGGAAAACCGTTTTTCTGGCAATGTATTTTTTGAAAGAAATTTGAAAAAACATGCATGATCCAGGCGCCCAAAATGAGTTGTTCAATCTGTGCGTAAATAAATTCAGCCATAATTTGCATTCGCGAATAAAGTTTCCTTCATCACACTTTATGAGAATCAATAATTTCTTTAAATATTACTCAGCATAATTGGCAATCATCGTGATAAAGTGTATGAGAAGCAAGCAAAAGAAGAAGTAACTGATAGGGGTGAAAGGCATTGTGCCAATAATTATATGCATACAAATATACGTATGTATATACAAACAATCAATGCATATAAATAATTCGAGCAGCATATATGGAGTATTATAACTGTATATTTATGCTGAAAATATCATATCACTCACACATATGAATGATATTTTTAAATATTTACAATTGAAATCGGTCCAATACGGCAGAGCCAATAAACGCAGTGGATGTACGTATATTTCTTGTATATATGAGAGAATTTAATTGTGTAGTATGAGCATATAACGAAATAATGAGAGAGAAAGTAAGAAAATATTCATTAATCTCAATAACGATTGCACATATTGAATATTTTTCATAAGAAATATCTCTATCTGCATATACGTAAATTTTTTCTTTGCACTAAAAGTAAAATATTACAGAAAGAGTGAGAGAAAGTAATGAAATAATGCATATATTTTTACACTTATTTGTGCCGTTTAATATGAATTTCCGTATTAATTGTAAGAAATTTATGAACGAAAAGGTTTTTTCATTTGCGAAAATTGGCAACATTGCGAAACGGCATTTTTCGTCTTTTATAAAATACGTTCCATTACAACAGCTCTAATGAACTTTAGTAACTCACCCGACTGGCATCCTATTAATGCTTAAAAATCACCTCAATATTAATGTCCCACATGAAAATTGGCAACATTGCGAAACGCCATTTTTTTGTCACTTATAAAATACTTTCCATAGCAACACATCCGACTAATATCTTATCAACGCTTAGAAAGCACCTCCACATTAATATCCCATATGAAGATGGGAAAATTGGCAACATTGCAGAACGACAGTCTCCTAGAAATACTCCAAAATCAGTGTTATCTCCTAATTCCTCCGAAACTGCTACTTAACCTTAGTTGAGAAGAGCTGAAAGCTGATTCGAGTTTCATGACCAAAGAAGAAAGAAGAAGTAATTAAATTATTCTTTTTGTAATTTTCAATAAGAACTTGTCCATAAAGCAGTGTCAATTGCATCAGTTCTTTATTTTCAACTCAAGTTTTTGAATTTGAAATTTAGTAGCTGACTAAAATTTATTTTCAAATAGTACTCAAAGTAGTTGAGGGTATATGTATTTGACTAATCCAGTAATTGGTTCAAAAGTTACTAATTTTTACTCTTTTTCAATTTCTAAAGTCGTCTTAAAGGATTTATAAGAAACATCATTTGAGGTCAGATAATGAAATAACATAAACTGGTTTTAACAGGATGTTTTAGAAAACTAACCTAGGCAACAGCGAACTTTTAAGTAGTCCATTATGTAGTTCTATATTTTTTTTGTATTGCCATTAGTAATTCCGAAATTTCTAGCTTAGCAACTAGCTAGCATTTTTTTCGCAATACTGTTGTTTCCGTAGAACTTACTCTTTCTTGGCCATTTCCCTAATTTACAGCAGCCGAACAATCAGCCATTACTTTGTTACGCCTTTAAATATGCAAGAAATTGCATATATTTGCATATAATGCTAATAAAATATGCACATAATATATTCGAGCGTCGAGAACAATAACAACACAAGTATAAACATACCTACAAATATATAAATTTATTTTATTTAAATATATTTTTATGCAAATACATATTACATACGCACATATTATGGATTACGTGTTCACACACCACGTGGCTATACTGGAAATATCCACAATAAAATCAGAACCTTAAGCGCGAGCAATTAAAATAATTGCGAAATTGTAGTGAAAGCAACAAGGAAAAAATCGAAAATTTGTTGAAAGAAAAATACGTTGCACGAAACAACAAACACAAATAATAAAGGAAATGGAAAACTGCCGTAGGAAGTGCTGAGAAACGCACGCAAAATCGGCGTGTGATCGCGGGTGGTCGCCCAGCATTCATGTTCATTGCCAATGAGCGGCTATTTTATTGTATATTTTTGTTTGTAAAAAAAAATTTGTATTAAAATATGTATGTGTGTGTATGTATTACATATGTGGCGTTCTGTGCCTGCGTGCAAAAAAACAATTGAATTAATTCCAGATTTGTGTGAATACTTTTTTTCCAACATATATGTAGCATTTTACACGCGCTAAGCCCACAGCCATAGCATTACCATCACACATACCACACACACACATTTACAATTTACGTACATTTCTACCAAAGGATTCGTAAAAATATTTATGTTGTTACCAACGTCAGCGGCTTACCAATGTTAATCTCTCTTTATTTACACACAATTTTTACCACTTTTCTCACTCACTCTCTCTTTTTCTACTTTTTATGCTGCAACAATAATAATAATAACAATCAAACGTTCGACCACATCCGTCGCCAATATTTCTTTTGTAAAATTATCAACATTCAACCCACCTTCACATTTTGTTCGCTCACATAGCCTGCCAGTTACGGTAAAAAGAACGGCATGTGGTACGCCTCACCTGGCAATCAAGGTTGGGGCTCAAAACCGGCCAGTCGTAAGCCATCGATTATGGAAGCAGATTTGGGCACATTGTCAACCACATCGGGTTCAATCAAACGCAGCGCTGGACGTGTTATACGCATCATAAATAATTTGGATCATTCAGTGCAGGTGAGTACGAGTAAAATCAAAAGCTTACCAATATGATGATGGAATAGCATTGATTTAAAGGGTGTGGCAATATTTGTTACCGAAATCATTGACTAATAAATGCAGCATTCTAAGGAATCAGAACCAATGCGTGTGCCGACAAGATTTAGTTAAAAAATTATAAAGTTAGAAATAAAATTTCTTTTAATTTTAAATTTATTACATTTTTTGTGAAAGCAAATTCTACAATGTGACATATTATTGCTAACAAAAAATTTAAAAATAAAAAAAATCGTAAAACTATAAAACTTAAATTTAAAAAAGCACTGCTCTGCGGAAAATAATTTAACCACCATTAACTTTGATAAATAACTATTTTATTTTATTTTATTTTATTTTATTTTATTTTATTTTATTTTATTTTATTTTATTTTATTTTATTTTATTTTATTTTATTTTATTTTATTTTATTTTATTTTATTTTATTTTATTTTATTTTATTTTTTTTTAATTTATTTGATTTTATTTTTAATTTATTTGATTTTATTTTTTTTTATTTTATTTTAATTTGTTTTTATATATTTTATGTTTTCTCGTAAACATAGTCCTATTAAATAAAATTTAAGAGGAAAATATTGAAGATATTCAATTCAGCTGCAAAAATTTTTATTATTGCTTTCTCGGTTTCATTGAAAGTTCTTTAGTTAAAGGCAGGTTTCACATTTATGTGAATGAAGTACATTTTTAGGAAACAAACACTCAACACATTTTTACATTTACATATAATGGCAGCTAGATTTCAGAAGTTCAATATGCGGAAATTTCACACCAAATGTCTATAATTTCCTGTCAAATTGCATATATTTAAGGCCAAGCTGCCAAGGCCAATAGGGCACAAACTAGTTGAGAGCTTACAACAAGCAAGTATACATACCTAAGTTCACCTCTGCATATTTGCATGATTTTCATGTGGGCACTAAGTACTGTCAAAGTTCAAGTACAAAACGTAACTAGTAATTGTCCAATAGAAGAATTAAGGCCAAGCCCAAGTAAGGCAGCAGCTGACATTCACCGCGAAAAATATTTTTGGTGAAATAGAATTGAGCAAAAAAAACCGCCAAAAGTATGCAAGGCCTTCATGACGGCATAAACTGTGTAGCTGTTAATTTTCATTTCCTCAGCTTAACGCGTGTGCTACTTTTTTACATTTCACACCAAGAAACTCCCTAGCAAGTAGATTAACCTTTACCTCAATTTTCAATTTACGCCCACACGCGTTTTCATATTGAATGAATAAAATAGTAGTTTTTATGGGCAAATTTTTGGTTGTCTTAACGCTATGCTGCACCTTAGGGCTTACCGCTATTTCGCACAGTTGCTGATGTAGAAAAATTCCCACACTCGCTCTCCAAAGAGTATTTATTTCACCTTTGGCACTACTCACTCCTTGATACTCGTTATGAAAATCAATTGTCTGCAATTTATGCAAAACAGATTGAAGTCATGGTCAATTTGGCAATTTCCATACGGTTTAGTGCAACTACAAAAACAATAAGCTGTTTGTAATATTACTAAAATGAAAAAGAAAATAATAATAATAAAAAAATAAAATTTGTGTGATGAAAAGCAGCGAGCATTTTCTCCCTTACTTACATATATATGTATACACATATATAATATATTCATATATGCATGTGTTAAAACCAAACTACAACAAAGCCAACTGTTGGAAAATAATAAACTCGCAAACGTTCAACTTTTGCCATCGACCACCAGGCCACGCCACGCCATGCTACACACATACACACACATGCCATCTTTATAATTCCAATGTCGCTCATACGTCATGTAGTGCCAATATGTACAAACATGCTCGGCGTGTGCATGCAGTGCATGGTTGGCTGCTGCATATATGAGTGTGTATGTAAATATATGTATGCGTAGATATGTATGACTGACACTCCTGCTACCGGTTGTTAAAAATTCGCCAATATTTTACACCTTACAGCAATCCAAGATATATGCAAACTGTGCTCTGAGCGAGAAAACAGAATATGGTTACTTGTTAATATTGCATAAAATATTTTCGGGATTGAAGCTGCAAGGCTATTTAAGTTTCTTATCATCCATTCGCCACAAACATTGCTTAGGTCCCAGTTCATTAGGTTTTTTGAAGCTACTGAAGAGTCGTACTAGCTAGCTCGAGCTCATGCTGCTGTCGAGGTTGCCATCGTTGACTGCTTTAAAACTCTTAAGCACGTTCGAATGTTGTCCAAAGTAGTAGACTCTAGAGGTGCATTTAAGATCCTGGCACAATTATATATATTGTGAAACGTACGAATAAAATACATCAGGATGTCCTACCAACAACCCAAACTCTTACTTGCACTTAGCAAAAAGAGAACCTAATTATGTCGGAGGTGTATTAGTTGCGCATCTATCCTTGAGAAATCGTCTTCACTTCTTCAGAGGTATATATATAGGTCAGTTAGACTTGACTGACTTGCGCATATAGTCCTTAACCGGTTTTGTGAAAAATATCACTTTTCTCTACTTTCCACTCAGGTTCACGCTACCAAATCCTTAATATAACCTATAAAATATAATGAAGTCTCAGACAGAATTTTTAGCTCACCCAAATAAGGAACTGGATTGAAGACTAAGCAGTGGTTTTTACAGATAATCGAGCTGAAATTGATTATGAGTGTAGCCAGAGTCAACGCAATCCGAACAGTCGCAGTGGCGTTTCTTTCTATTTTTATTCCTGAAACCTGACGAGATTAATATTCAAAATTATACAAAAAAAATTTTTGAATTTCGGTTGAAGCACGGCTTGCAAAGTCAACCTCTACAAGTGTATTTTGAAGGTAAATTAAAAAGACTCTCATTAAAGTCCATCAGCTGCACGGAGGGAGCTTAGAAGCCGGCAGTAGATCCCTACGTTGTTATTGGAAAATTTTGAGTTGCTTTTTAAGTAAGGCAGAAGCTCAAACAAACATTGAATCGGTGTTAAAAAAATTTTTAAATTATTATTATTATTTAATTATTTCGAAGAAAATCCTCTTGTTTTCTTCATACCTCCGTCGGCAACACTTTCAACCCCTACCAGCAATGTACGCGATACTCACACAAAACGGGATTCACTTTACCATCACTTACACATCGTTAGCTACAATTGCTTACAACAACAGCAAACCACACAAGAAATAGAATATATTCTTACATATACATATATGTAAGAGTACCTTTTTTGGTACTCCTTCGGCAAGCTGTCGAAATTCATTTTTATGGCGTGTGAATATTGCAAAAATTCAACTAACCAAGGTTTGCCGGCATGGCTTAGTCAAAAGTGCTGGTACTTACATGCGCACACACACATATACACACACATGCATACACATATGTTGTGGCCCATTGTGAAAATCAGCAAATATTTTCACATATTTTTATTAGTCACCTGTCTGGGATACTCGTACAACGACACACGCACACACACCAGCACACTTGATTACATGCATATATGTACAACTAAAGAATGTAAGAGGATAAAGAAGATACCGAATATGTTATATAAGAATGTCGATTTAACTAAGTATGTGGTGGCTGCCTGACTGACTCAACTGGGCTAACAAGTGTGAAAATTTGTAAAATATTTCTGAAAAATAGTCACAGGAAAAATATGTGCAAAGTATGCGGAATGTGTGTGTATGTGTGTATATGTATCTATGTGGGTGTAAGGAAAGGATATTATATAAGACTGTTTAATAATGTGTAAAATTGTGTAAAAAGGCATAAAGCCGAAGAAATATCTAAGTTGAGTTTGAACACAGCAGTGGAGGGGCAACAAATACATGTACTCATGGTTGCAGATCTCAAGTGATTTAGTAAGCTTATAAGCATTCTTTTGGGATTTTTACACATTTTTATTTTATTTTTATTTTTATATTTATTCTCTGGCTTGTGGTTACTTACAAATAAATATGGGAAATTTATTTTACATCTTGATGTAGGGAAGGCGATAACAGTAAAGTTTTTGCAATATGAAAACAAGAAAGAATTGAATTTTAGGATTAAAAATTATGTTTCATGTCTGAAAAACTTATGTGAGTTTAGCGGTTTGGATGATTTTAGGCGATATTGTATATTTTGTATATACAAATTTATGTAGAATACAGAATTTTAGGCTCTTAGAAGTTATTTTTGACAAATTTTTTACCCAAAACCACATATCTAAACGCGACGTTTGTATGGGGCTATGTGACACAGTCCTCCGATTTCGATGATTTTCAATGAGAATTTTTATCTGTTAATATGCATATACAATGCAAAGTTCTGCGCTCTTATGTATTTTTAATGGATTTGGACACTGGATTGGGACTGAAGATGAAAAATTGAAGTACTATGATAATTGCTGCGTAACATAATCTACTAAAACTAAAGTATTTGGCCAAAAAAGGACGAATATTATGGCAATGTGATTTTTCAGCATGACACTCCACGGCCCTAAGTGCCTGTAATGCACATAAACTACCTGGAAACGCTAAAATGTGGAAAGTCTTACCCGAATCGTCGTATACTCCAGACCATGATTCTGCCTACTACTGACCGTAGTTTGCGTCGTTCGGACAACGATGTGTCAGTGGCTCAAGTCTTTTGAAGCAATCGACTAATGACTGCTCGATTGGATCGAGGGAAGAGGGGACTAATTTTTAAAAAATATCATTCGAAAACCACCATAGCGATGGAATAAAGGTAGTCGCTTCTGGTGGACCATATTTTGAGTTATGTATTTTTTTAGAAAACAAAAAACCGTGCGAAAACATTTGTATTCCAAATAATACTAGAAAAGCTGCCGAAAGCGAAGAAAGCAATTATTGAGTAAATATTTTTTTCTATCAAAACTTCAATATTTTCTTCAACCAAAAATTCCCCTTAGAGAAATATGTATGTACTCCCAATAAAATCGCCAGCCCCACAAATCTCTGTTTATGTGGGCAAACCGAAAATCAAACAACAGTTAT